TCTGATTATCATTTGATGACAATCGTTTTATCACCACCCACCTCTGAAAGAAATTATTATGATCTTTAATTTCAAATAAGTTTACCTTTAATTTCCATTGCATTTTTAATGTTAATATTTTAAATATTTATGTGTTAATTTTAGATTCATTAAGTGGAGGAGAGGAAAAAAAAATTTTCTGTTAGAAGATATAATAAATTATTATATATCTCACCTCCGCTTAAAAAGTGACATAACTGAAAAAAATATTTTTTGAGATATGCCACTTTTGATAGTATTTCAGTTAATTTTCAGTTTAAGCGAGCGTGCGATATGTGCATTGATAATATGGACACAATTGTATTTTAAATACATTTAATTATTTTTACTACATGATGATTATTTATAAATATATACTACCAAGATCTTTGAGTCTATGTGATAAATTATAATATCTGAAAATTAAAAATATATATACATATATATTTTATAACACAAAAATATTAAATTATTGCTAGTTAATAAACTTAATAAAATAAGCTAAATGTTATTAGTTTTTTTACATTAATTTTATCCCTGTCGCCACGCTTTAATATTAAATATTGATATTATTGTGCCATTCTTAAGTGATTGATACACCAGGGTAAAATAAATCCTACTAGGAAGCACCAAGAATCGTTTCTTGAGTGTGTCGACATCATGGATACATTAATTTAAATAATATTCTAAATTTTACTGATATCCTCATCATTAAACTTTAAAAATATATAACCATAAGTTATTCTTATCTGGACATAAATCATAATATATTATAACTGATTATATTGCAAGTTAAATTAAGTATTAAATTGATGATTCTTTAATGTTTAGCCTAAATGTTAGTTTTTATGTAATTTATGCATTCCGATTAGGTAAATTTAACTAAAATCATGATAATTATTTTATTTAAAGATTCGAATATATATTTGTTTTTGTTTTTTTAGCCTAGAGGAGATTTCCGCAATGATAGTAATCAGGGTGATCATCAAGGAGATAGTGAAATTATGAATAGAGGTGGGCGCAATCACAATGATAGTGGAAGAGGCGGTAGACGTGGTGGAGGTGTTGGTGGAGGAGGTTTTAGAGGTGGTCCGCCTAATCGTGTTGATGACCGCATAACTAGAGCTGATGTAAGTATAATCCTATCTAAAAATAAATTGATATTTTTATTGAAATTTACATTATTTTTATTAGGCTGTTTGGAATGAACGTTTGATGCAAATAATGGGACCCACTCACGAACTTCCTCAAACCGATAATACTGAAAGAAAATTCCTTAGTCAATGCCGTCTTTATATTGGAAATTTAGTAGATTGCACTGAAGAAGAACTTATTGAAATGTTTAAACCATATGGAGAGGTTTCTGAAAATTTTTTGAATAAAGAAAAAATGTTTGCTTTTATCAGATTGGTAAATTATTTGTTTAACTCAAAGTATTTAAGCCCATTATTTATATTTATTTCATTTTCATAGGATTACCGTACTAATGCTGAGAAAGCTAAACGAGAATTAGATGGACAAATGCGTAAAGGGCGTATGTTAAAAATTCGATTTGCTCCCATTGCTGCTGCTATTAAAGTCAAAAATCTTACTCCATTTGTGTCTAATGAGCTTTTAGAATATGCTTTTTCAATATTTGGAGATGTATGTAGTTTCTATTTTTTAAATAGTATTTAAAATAATATTTTTTATATATTTTAGATTGAACGTTGTCAAGTTATGGTAGATGAAAGAGGTAATTCAACTGGTGAAGGAATTATTGAATTTTCTCGTAAAAATGCTGCAAGTAATGCATTGAAACGGTGTTCAGAAGGTTGTTTCTTTTTGACTAGGTAAAAATTGTAATTTTTGTTTTTATATTAGTTTGTTGTTAAATTTTCTGTTTTCTTTAGTTCCCTTCGTCCTTGTGTAGTTGAGACTTACGAGTTTGTAGATAGTTCTGATGGTCTCCCAGATAAATTGTTGCCCAAAAAAACGATGGATTTCCAGAAGCAAAGAGAAGTTGGTCCAAGATTTGCCAATCCAAACTCTTTTGAACATGAATTTGGTACACGTTGGAAACAATTAGCTGAATTGTACAAACAAAAGGAAGAAGCATTAAAACGTGAAATGAAACTGGAAGAAGAAAAATTGGAAGCACAGATGGAATATGCTCGTTATGAGCATGAGACTGAAATGCTCCGAGAACGTAATAATAATAATTTTTCTCATACCAAATTAATGTTATAATAAAATTGTATTTATAGAATTGCGCCAACGAGAAATGGATAGAGAACGACAAAAGATGGAGTGGGAAATGAAAGAACGACAAGCAGAAGAACAAAGGCTTAGAGAAGAAGATATTTTCAGAAGACAAAGTGAAGATCTAAGCATGAGAATGCACCATCAGGATGAAGAAATGAGAAGGCGCCAACAAGATAACTCGTCATTCATGCAGGTATGATTAAATTTATTTGTATCATTTAAATAGTTGAGTATTCAATGAATTTGGCTGTTATGTTAATTTATTTAAAGGGAAATATTTAAATTAATACTATATAATTCTATATAATTTTAGGACCATAGAGGAGGACCACCAGGTAAACCTCAATTTGATGGACCTCCTATGCCCGTTGAAGGGATGACTGTTCGTGAACTTGAAGCAATAACTGGTAATTAGCAATAACTTTTATTAATTGATTTTGTGAATTCTGCTTAAATTGTGACTGACCCTACACAATCAAATATAAAATATGATTGATAGTTCAGAATATATGTTGAATGGTTACAAGATAAATTGAATATATTATATGGGGTGGAAAAAAATGTATTGAACAGTTAATAATATTTTATAAAATCCTAAATCTTAATGTATTAGTTTTGATTTTGATAAAGACTGTTATAATGTTAAATACTTATGATAGTAAATAAAAAATTGTATTTTAATATTTTTATTAATTATACTAACCTAAGTTGAAGGACATTCTTTTATAATTGAACACATAACATTCATTGGAATATTCTTATTCTTTGGAAAATAAAGATTATAGATTATTCAAATTGGGAAAACCTAAATTATGTTTATTATATATTATATTACTGTACTCTGTTCATATGTTTAGTTGTAAGCTTTAATAATAATTAAAATTACTATAATAACTATTATACAACTAAGTAAATTATAATATTATTAATAATATTGGTTACCACAAACTTCCAATCAAATCTCATTAAAATTGTAGCATACATTTGTAAAAAATAATAATTTAATTATTCTGTCATTCATAGAAAGCTCAAAAATGTTTTTTATGGCCATATATTGTGCTCTTTTCTTGTACCAACCTTTCATCTGACATATTTTTCGAATTTCTTTCAAAAGCTAAAACAATATGGAAACTACTTTTGTGTTATGAAAGATACATTTATAATTTATAAAATTTTAGAATAACTAATTATATGCTCTACTACATACTTAAATTATATGCATTTAAAACACTTATCTAATTGTTTATTTGTAATAATGAGTGGTTAGGAAAAATTAATACTGAACAAACTATTGATTCAATATTGTTGATTGTGTAGGGCTAAGATTAATATATTTTTACTCTTAATGTCTATATTATTAATATTATTTTTTTAATTTATATTCTAACATTGTTTACATTTTATTTTTTTTTTTTTCAGCACAAGGAGGAATGGTAATGTACTAAATTTATGTTAAATCTATTTTTTAATTTTAATTTTTAGAATTAAATATTAGGTACACAAATATAATATTATTTTCAATTAACTAAATTGATTGTGATAAAATGAATTTAAATTTATTTGCTAAAGCAATATCGAATATCTTAAAGAAAAAATGAATTTATTAGATATTAAATAATTTTGTGGTATTTAGATAGTATGTAAAATTAAAAAAAAAAATTATTACATACATAATAATTTTTTTCTTATTCTCCCAAACAGGGTGGGGAAAGCCAAGTGGCAAATTTACAGGTCAGTCTATTTGAAGCATGAGTTAATAATTATCATTTATTTATCATTTCTTAGGATTATGAATGCTTTAGTTGTTATATACTTATTGATTATGAAACTAAAGTTCATGATGTCTTACAAGTTGTTGTTTGTGAATTGTTGTGTTCGTAATTTTCAGGGAGGCATATGGCATTTTAAACCATACAAAAAAAGTTGTAAATAAAATGGATTATTTAATTTAATATTTGTATTTATAGGATAATATTTCTCTAAATTCTACATTTAAAGGATTTAATTAAATTATATAAACAAGTAACACTACAAAGTTTTTGATTTTGTGTACCATATTTATGGATAAAATTACAGTGTATGATTAACAGTATATTTATCTCTTATTTTGGTATGTTGTGTATTCAACTAAATATTATTTCGTCGTATGAAATTATTTAATTAATATTTTATGTATCTTTTGTATTCAATCTTAAAGAAATATTAGATTGCTCAACCATTCTAATTATTATCAAGACTATTGAGAATAATTTATTTAAATTTAATTCCATGAACATTTTTTCTAATGGAATGCACAAATGAAAATATTTTATAGTTATAGTGTAGTTGTACTCTAGATGTAAACGAGTTTTATAAACAAAAGTTAAATTATATCAAGTTATTCAATAATTAATTGATTATTTAATCAATTATTTAAAAAAAAAAAAAAAAAACTTGATTTAATTTGTTTATTTCAGTTATGACAAAATATTTATTAATTAGTATTAATGTCAACACATTCACAACAAAGTTGTTTAAATATATTATTCATATAAATTAAACTATTTTCAATAGTTAATAAAATAATGAAATTTATATTCGATTACATTTAATTGAAAATAATAAGTTAACAGTAGACAGTAAACTATTTTTAAAGATATTTTTATACTGATAGAATTTTTGGAAAAACTTGATAGGAATATGTGTTTGATTGTTTTTACGATACCTTCAATGTAGATGATCAATATATAAGCTTTGTTCATATATTTTTAGTGACTACAGTTTTTTGGATTGAAATATATGATAAAGTACTTAAATGCTTATAATGTAAACCAGTGGTTCTCAACCTCTCTTTCTTTTTTTTTTGACAGCACATTAATATACATCTTAAATTTTTGTGGCACACTTCTGGGTGTTAGGATTTTCAGCATTATAAAACAAAAAAATAAAATATGGAAAAGGCTTTTTTTCATTTAATAGGAAATGTGTGTGCTTGTCTTCAATTCGACCAAGTATCAAATTTTTGTATAAAAATTGACGAGTTCAATCATCTCACTATTAACACTATTAATTTCAAGTATTTTCTCTCTATGATAAATATTTCTTTGCTTAAATAATTCTCAAAATCTTTTTTTTTTTTTTTTTTACCAGTGTAATCATGGGCGCAACTAGAGCCCAAATATTGGGGGTACTGAAATTGCTGAAAATAAAATAAAATGGTATTTAATTGTAATTATTATAGATTATATAGATCAGAAAAAAAAACATTTGAACTCGGGGATGCTAAAAACATTGCGACACTGGTTGAGAACCACTGATGTGTACTATCTATTTTATCGTAAATAGTTTTCTTAAAATTTGTGATTTCTTACAAATATTTTAGAAAGAACTTAATCTTTTATGTTACTTTTAATTACTTAGCAGATACAAAAAGAAATATTAAATTACATTTTAAACACATGTAATGATTTTCCACTTCATCTTATTTAAATTTAATTCATGACAGACTAGATACCCTATTCTAGCATTATATTTATTTCATCGTTAAATTTGGTAGGTTTGTTTATCTTTAAATTGAATGGTTTTCATTTGAATTATTTTAATAATTAAAATTAATTATTTTCATGCAAGGGCAATAAAATATCTTAAATATTCCATAAACAAAAAAATAATTAAATAAGGGTTTATTTCTTTGAATATTTTTATTTTATTATTAGGTAATTTAATGCTTACTTAACTAATTCCCAATGAATGCGTTGATTTATTTGATAACCGATAGGAATCGACGCCGTTCGTGGAAACTTTTGTACGTGACAATCAAGGAGTATTGCCGCCACCAGGCCTTTTCGACGCAGGCCCTAGAGGAGACAGGGGCGGAAGGTGGGGTCAAGACAGACGTAACGGCCAGGATCGTAGAAGATTTTAATCTTGCAATAAAGATCTTAAGAATAAACTATAGAACAAAAGTTTGAAGATGATAGTTAAATGTCTTCATTTGAAGTCATAATAATAATTCATTTCATAACCGCAGATATTACTTGACTTAAAAAAAACTAATTTTGATACGTATCTAAATGAAATATTTTATGAATAATCTCATTCAAGAAAACTGAATTTTTCACAATGTAATTCTTGTCGTTAAAATTTTGTGGATTATTTGACTATATTTTCAACTCTAAAAAAAAAAAACTTCTGATAACCGAATATTTTTTTTTTCTTATGGATGGATTGCTAAAACATCAGTATTTTGATGACCATATTGTTTAGATTTTCTACATTTTTTAAATGTAACAATACAGTTAATTTTTATACATTATTTTAATTTTAAGTGATTAAATATACTTTCATTACTAAACTTACGGTCTCAAATAAATAAAATTTTTGTTCTTTTACATAATTATTAGTTTGTTTTTATTTACTTCAAAATCATTGTAAATATGAACTATTCATAATTTTTTTTTTTTTATATATAGTAATATTAATTAATAATTCAAATGACTTTGCTTAATGCACTGTTAACTATAATTACACCTATGAGACCGTAAAAAGGTTAGTAGTGAACAATAAGTTGATATTATTTTGATGTGTGCTGTTTGAAAAGCCTGTTTTTCTTGGATTTTTTTCCGTAGTAATTAATTTCGTGTTTTTGGTACAGAATATTCTCAATTATTCGCTTTTGTGAGGTTTTACATATTCTCTTTAATAATTATTGTTCTTATATGTATGAATAATAATAATATGGTTTATATAATCTAAATTTTTTCATCATATCTTAATTAGGTTGTTATTCTTGTATTTTTAAATAAAAAACTTAATTAAAAGTTGTAGTATAAACAATTGATATAAATTATATTAAAATTATGATTATTGCTATTTTTTAAGATTGACTATAGGTAAAAATATGTCTAAATCGTGAATGATACTGTAATTTCTATAACAAAATATTTTTTTTTTTTTTTTATCTGCTGAATCAATAGTAAATAATTTTATTGATATAGGCAATTATAAATAGAGAAAATGCAATCTGATGTTTATCTTAAAACTTATAATACTTGAATGCATTTGTTTTAAAGATATCTTAGTACAAAGTTATAACTCTTTTTGTATGTAGATCAATTTCATTATAATTATTAATATTATTATAACTTATAAGTAAATTACGTGCACGAAAAATAATTTATTCATTTTAATACAATTATACATATATTCCTAAATATACTTCTTACTAGAAATGTAACTTTGTGTTAAATGTTTTCATCTGAGACTTTTCTACATAAATTGAAACCCTCTTATTTTACAAATATGAACTTAGGAGTTATAAATAGTTTGTATTGGTGTTTCATAATTTTTACTGTTGTTATTATTTTTAATAAAACTAAAACAATATTTAATTTAAAGGTATAACTAATTTATCAATACAATGAAACCTATTACTAACAGACCCAGGCTAAGCTGTGGAATTGTCTTTAATGATAAAAGTATCCGATTTCGGGGAATATTATACAATGGTTACTACACTGAAACCTATTGAAAACTAAGTATTTATTGAATCATAGTGATACAAATATTACTGTATCATTACATTCTTAATTTTAATTTTTTTTATTGTATTGTATATCAAATGCTTTTAAATCTCTGGCATGGTGGTTAGTAATTTTTCTGTTTGTGGCATACTAACGACCAGCAAAATAATTTTACTTATTTTACTGACCATCTTAATTAGTTGGTTCATTTGTAATCTGAAAGCATATGATGTATCAATATTTAATAGTGTTTGGATTTGCTACACTGCGGTGGAAAGAATTAACCGTATTTTGGGTTTGTAACCCATCTTAGTTAACATTTTTTCTCAAAATGTAATGTGTATTTATTATGCTTATTAAGCATAAATTTGAATTTGGATTATTTAAAAAAAAAAAAAAAATGAATAAAAGTTAAATATTTTGAAATAATTTATAAAAATAGAAATAAATTAATAGAACCTATTTGTTCTGCTATGATAAAGATAACTGCTTCAACACAATAAAATATTCTGTTATAGTGATTGATTGTTTTATTTAGTGTTTTTACACCAATTATATTTCTAATTGTATTAAAGACAACTCAAAAAATTAATATTATTTTATTCATACATTTTTTATATGTGAATTTTTTTGAATCTGATTTTATCTAAAATAGACGAGTATCAAAATACTAATTTTAATGATTTTATTTACAATTAAAAATATACTTCACCTTAAAATTTAAAATATACTTTTTTTTTTCTCTCGTTTTAGACTGAGTAAGTCAAGTCAACTTAATTATATTTAATTTTGGTTAATGTATGTCAATCATATGAAGAAATAGGAATTTCAGTAATTTTTATTTAATTTGAGAATAATAATTTATAACTTGATAAATATATCATATTATAAACAAAAATTAGATTGAAAGTATTTATATATATATATATATTCATGGATATCTATGAGATTAATTGAAATGTATTCCATTTCATAAACATTATATGTATTGTTATTTGTATTAGTTTTTATTACTGATTTATTATAATAGCGCTTGTATTTTTAGTAAACATTAATTCTAATAAAATATTTTCAGTTTTTCAATAAATGGTTAATCAAATATTTTTAGTATATATGATAATAAAATTCTATTAAACTAATCAACAATGAAAATTTGTGCTAGATTTAAAATAATCATGATACTTATTACAAATATAAGTTATATTAAAAATTGATTATTTAGATGAGAAAATATTAATATATGATAAAAATATTTCTGCGTTATCGATAAATGTAATAAACAATGAATTCAAATTATGATATTTTATGTTATGGTATTCTTTGCTGTAAAGTTTAAGTTGATGTCATAATATTAAATAAAATTAAAAGAATAATTGCATAACAGTTGAATTCATTTTAATATGATGTAATATATCGCTTAAAAAAAATTAAATTTTCCTTTTAATTTTAATCAATAATTTTTTCATTTAAATATTATTGATTCCTTTATTTTCCATAACAAAAACCAAAATATCTTGCATCTAGTTTCTATTTGCATTTCCTAGATATAGATTATGAAAACTGCAAATGAAGATCATTCGAATTGACCATCGAGAACTACGGCGTATGGTATTTATTAAACACTTAAAATGACGAAGAATTAAATTCTTCGTTAATTTTATCTGAAGGTATGTCTAAGAAAATTTTTGTGATACCTATATTATATGTTAAAACAAAGGTAACAAACTTAACCTGACAATCTTCACTGTTGTTTCATATTGAAATTTGTATGTTAACTAATGTAAATTTTATATTATTTCTTTATGATTAGATACATGTATATGTATGTGTATGTACATAAATGTTTCATTGAAGATTGCCTGGTTTTACTTTTAATATTTAATATTCTATGTATTTTCATAATTTTTCAGCATTATCAATATGTCAAAGTTGTTGTGGCTCTAAACTTATTTTAGGCAGTCCAATTGAATAATTGAATCAAAAAATTAAGAATGAAATATTATAAAAGATGACTTTAGCGCGATATTACGTCGGTGCTTGGTATTTTAACTTCTTATTAATGGTAATAGTCGAAAGTATTTTTGAATTCAAGAAAATTATTATGTTCATCAAAATTGCACTATTGTTTTATTTGACATAATGAACTGAACTAATCATATGTGATAAATAAACGTGTTGAAAATGTTTTATGTGTTACTATTAAATATTGCTACAGTAATTTAATTTTAAAAAAAAAATGTATTTACTACTTTGGCAAACTAAATTATTATAATTAGGCTTGTTTGAGGATAATGGATTATTATTAATTGATAAATGTTCAATAAAACTTAAAATATTTGAACATAGAATATATTCATAGAAAGAAAGAAAACTTGTTGATATAATTAAGTATACATGTATGATATTTAATATTTTGCTTTTCTCTGGCTCAAGAAATATTAAACTATTTATTTTAATATTCAGTGAGCATAAAAGTTTTACTATTTGGTGGATGTTTTCAACGATTGTAAATATTTACTCAGTTTAACATTTATTTATTGCATAGTGTATAGTTTTCAACTAAAAAATTCTGTGTATAAAAATATTAACAACTATTCTTTTTATACATATAAAAAAATATATAATCTATACATACAATTAGCATAATAAGTATATGTGATATTAGATACTTAAAACATGCGCGTACATGAGTTAGGAGCCACCCATTAGTGGCACTGAATTTGTTGTAGAATTAAATTAAATGGTCTGTACACTATTTAATTTAAAGTCTGCGCTTGGAATTTCCAGGAAGTGTTGGGATATATAGATTTTTTATTAGAGGGTTTTCGTGATTTTCTAATGTAATATAGAAACGTTTATAGAAGACAGCTGCTTCATCTATTGTTTTTATATTTAGGTCTTTGTGAAGGGTCAGGTTAGAGACAGAGTGGAAAAATAAGTGATTTTTTCGTAGTGTGAAATTTTGGAATGCCTGGATTTTGTTTAAATTAGATTTTTTTTTACTGATCTCAAAGTTGTATTCCATATGAGTTTCAGAAAATATTTATATATAAGTAATTTAGTTTTTAATGTTGTGAGCTTATTTTTTGAGAGTAATATTTTTAATGATTGGGAACGATTATTGAGTATTAATCTTTTTTTTTCTTATATGATTTTGCTAGTCTTTTATCAAGGTTTAGACCTAGGTATTTAACAGTGTGTAAGATGGGATAGGAAGGTTATTTATAATTATGTCAGGTCAATGTCCGCGTCTTGAAGTAAATGTTGTGTGAACAGATTTGTTGTTTAATTTAATTTGCCATTTTGCGTACCATTCAGAAAGTGAGTTTGTAAGTTTTTCGAAGCAGTTATTGAATCATTGTGTACTGATAATATGAATTTATCGTCAGCATAGTCAGCAACAAAAGTATTTTGTGTTGAGGGTTGATTATAAATATTAAAAAATATGGTCTAGAGTACATCTCCTTGGGGAACTATAGCATTAATAACGGCTATGTTTGAAGTGATAATCCTTGACGTATTTGAAAATATCGATCAGTAAGATATGATTCCATTAGCAAGAATATCGAAAGAGGAAGACATTTACGGAGCTTAAACAGAAGTCCTTCATGCAAGACTTTATCAAAAGCCTGAGATATATCTAAAAAGGCACAAATACAGTAGCATTTGTTTTTCAATGAG